CATATGGAATCCAGTGTATGATGAATACATATATCAGAGTGATAAGTAATAGGGAATACTTTAAAGGGTGAAACTGTTTCTTCTTTCACGACATGTTTAGTATGAAGTATTAGATAGCACTGACAACATTACACTTTTATTCACATATTCTGAGAGATCTACAAGTACCACTCACTTATCTACCTCTAATTTTTAACTGTTTATTATTTAAATCATTTATAAACACTTCCCAAACATGCTTAAGAAATAGAACTCAAATCTTGTTCATTACTAGCTACAACAAGAATTTCATAAACCTCCTTTTGTGCCTTCATATTTGTTGGAATTAATTGAATTTAATTGGGTTAAAACATTAAATGTAATATTTAATGATGTGGGGCATTGCAATTAATTTGGGTGAATTGGAAAAGTCTCCAATATAGGCCCATATGTTGATAAACCCATTTTAAGTGTTTTATATATGGAAAGGAATCCCACATCGAAAGTTTACAAGAAAATAGTCTTGTTTATATAGTAGGTTGTGTGAATAATATATAATTTAATAAGTTACCTACCACTTGACTAACTTTGGCTAGCAAACTAGCCAAAGGCTAGTCACCACTAGAATGGTGTTTTGCACCACTCGTGCCGCTCCTCGGACCCGGTCTCGGCACGTGCACGTCGCAAAGTACGCATTGAGTGCTTTAGAGGCGCACTTCGCACGTACGCATCGTCGCGAGGATGGTTTTCGGAAATGGACTCGTGGTTCGCTGACGTGGCAGCACAAGGCTCAGTGAGCTGGTATTCTAGGTGGCGCACGCGTGGTAGGTCCGTCCCTTCGTCTTGCATGGTGGTTAGATGTACGCGTGGCATCCGCATGGCTGTGACTGTTCAGAAATTGGTGAATAGGCATGATGAATAGACACTTCACTTCATGGTTCAATTTGGGCCGTCAGATCATGAAAATAGTGCGATCCAATGGCTAAGACGAATCAGACCAAGTGGTGCACCAGTTGCTGAAATGTTACACACCTGTTCCATGAGACACTTCAATCTCTATAAATAGAGACCCCCAGATTCGTTAAAAAAAAAAAAGGACAGTTACAAATTCAATTGATTTCTAAATTCATCTCTCTTCATATTCTGCTCTAAAAATTCTCTTATATTTTCATGGTTATTCCGTTCGAGTACGATCATTCATTGGTTCGACCTACCACGCGTGCGCCACCTAGAATGCCAACTCACCGAGCCTTGCGCTGCCACGTCATCGAAACATGAGTCCATTTTCAAAAACTATAAGGCTCCCCAGCTCCTCGCGACGATGCGTATGTGCAAAGTGCCAAGTGCGCCTCTAAAGCGCCCAATGCGTACTTTGCGACGTGCGCATGCCGGGACCGGGTCTGGTGATCGGCGCGAGTGGTGCGAAGCACCATTCTAGTGGTGACTAACCTTTGGCTAGCTAAAGTTAGCCAAGTGGTAGGTAACTTATTAAATTATATATTATTCACACAACCCACTATATAAACAAGACTATTTTCATGTAAACTTTCGATGTGGGATTCCTTTCCATATATAAAACACTTAAAATGGACTTATCAACATATGAGCCTATATTGGAGACTTTTCCAATTCACTCATATTAATTGCAATGGCCCACATCATTAAATATTACATTTAATGTTTTAAACCCGAATTAATTGCAATGGCCCACATCATTAAATATTACATTTAATGTTTTAACCCAATTAATTCCAACAATCCTCCACATGAATGGAAGAAGTCGACTCAAATCAAGAAAGACGAAAGAAGAGTACTTTTTGAAAGATAACGCATCAAGATAGGTAGCTTTCGCTTTGAACCTTCTTTAGTAAGAATCTATTGAACTCACTTGGCTAATCAGTGAACGCAACGTTTTGAACTGTCAGCCATTATTGCAAGCTCAGACAATAGACCAAACACATTATCTCTCATATCAAACTTGGTTCTCTATTGTGTTCATTATTTCGGCCCTGAATTACTTGGGTTCTACGAGTACTTTAGAGAATTCGCCTAAGTAAATTCTCATAGAACGGGCCAAGTTCGCACTAACATAGGTGATGTACTATAAAGAGTACCCTACTGTAATTACTTGTACCATTTATAGTCATCATTAAAAGCAAAGCTTATCCTTAATACACTTCATAGTCAGCACTTTTGACATCATAGAAATGGGAAGGAGTTAAATTCCTAAGTGCTTCTTATCGAGTCATTCATAATTAGTTTTCCTATTGAACCTAATCCATGGGATCTCCAGTTGCCAGGTTAGGTTTCCACTAAGATGACTCATTGGGTTTTAGGCTTTAAACCCATTTCCCTCGATGCGCAGTCTCTACGCTCTCTAGATAACCCTTTAGTGAACGGATCCGCTAGGTTTTCTTTTGACTTAACAAAATCAATTGATATTGTTCCATTTGAGAGCAACTGCCGAACGGTGTTATGTCTACGACGTATATGTCTCAACTTACCGTTATACACAAAATTTTCAGCCCTGGCTATTGTGGCCTGGTTATCACAATGAATACAAATAGCCAGTACAGGCTTTGGCCATATAGGAATATCTTCTATGAAATGTCTTAACCATTCTACTTCTTCTCCTGCTTTGTCTAAAGCAATAAATTCAGATTCCATAGTAGATCGAGCTATACACGTTTGCTTAGAAGATTTCCATGATATAGCGCCACCACCGAGAGTAAATACATAG